CCAATGCCCTGCAGTCCAGGATATATCATTATCATACTCAGCCGGTAGATAACACTCTTCTGTAAATTATACGCGAGAGTTTCTCCAGGCACGCTTCCCAATCACTTCCATCACCCCCCCCCCTCCCCCCACTCACTACCAGGCGACCGACCTCGCCGCGCACTAGGAGCAGCTCGCATTCAAATGGGAATTGAGATCCCAAAATGGTGAAGGTTTTCTACTCCCATCGAAAGAAAAGAAATTCATGCCGTCCACCTCTACAGCCTCATTTCCTCTGGTCAGCCTTGGGTTACTGGGCAGCTTGTTTAGTATCCATACGTACTAAACCCGCCACTTTTAGTACGGATCGGTACTAAACACCGTTTTTCCTCTTAGCAAGAATACGTACTAAATATTCTCGAGAATGTGTTGACGTGGAACGGCGACGCACTGCCAGTGTGCGGTCGGTGTGAAATGGGAAATCTGCGGTAAAGGGAGGTAACTATTGAGTCGTAACTGTTCTTCCTGAAAAACTACGAGAACCAGGAACCGGGCTGGATGTTACCGGGGCCTGTGGTTGTGTCAAAAGTTCTTGGAACCAGGGCCCGGCATTAGCAGGCAAAAGAGCTAAAGAATGTAAGTCAGCTCTGGCTCAGCCATAGGTACTTATAACATGGATTACCGAGAAGCAAGCAAGTTGCTTGGCTGATAGGTGACCATATATATAACACCAGAAAACCATCCCAATACCACAGGTTACCATCAAAGCTCAGCAATAATTTTTTACACATGCCCAGCCCACCTGCGGACCAAAGCTAGTCCCACATTGATACTGTTTCATCATGCACATAATGAATCTATACATGCCTGAGCTTTGTGCTCAGGCTTCTGGAAAAGCTGCATTGTTGTTACAGAGTCAGGGCATGCTGTTTATTTTGACTTGCCTGTGATGTACTGATCTGCTTTTTAGGGTAAAGTATTTGGGTTGTGTAGGGTGACCTTTTTAGGTCAATTTTTCCAAGGTCTCAAGACTCATAATACTCCATATTTTGACCTCAGGAGTCTAGTGTTGGTAAAACGACTAGTGTGAACTGTGAGATACGGTGTTATGTATTAATGGCATGTTGTGATTCCTGTCGCTTGCCAGAGAACTTATGGGAGCCTAAGGCTGGGATTGACGGAAGAACAAGGGAGACCAGGAGCTGAAGCCAGTGCTTACAAAATAATTAATGGGAACCAAGATGCAGGTCTTGTGTTGTTGAAAGAAACAGTGGGAACCAAGATCCGGGGTTTCGTTTTATATAAGAACCAATAGGAACCAGGATGCAGCATAATGCTTTGTCAAAAGATCCATTGGGATCCAGGGTCCAGGGTATTGTTTTGTCGAAAGAACCAGTAAGAACCAGGATTCAGGGTCTTGTTTCATTGAAAGTACTAGTGAGAACCAAGATCCAGGGTCTTGTTTTGTTGAAAGAACCAGCGGGAACCAAGGACGAGGGTTTTACTTTACTGGAAGATCCAGCGGGAACCAGGATCCAGGGTCTTGATTAATCAAAGGAACCGGTGGGAACCAAGATCCAGCATCTTGTTTTGTCGAAAGAACCAGTGGGAACCAGGATCCAGGGTCTTGTGTTGTCGAAAGAACCTATGAGAACCAGGATCCAGCATCTTGTTTTGTCGAAAGAACCAGTGGGAACCAGGAACCAATGCTGGGAACCAGGCACATGTCTGGTATCATGGCTCGTACCTCGGCATTCTTGTCTTGCACCTCGATGCCGCCTTGCACGTTATTCATGATCCCCATAAATCATGCTCCAACAAATGCTCCCCTGGCAACTCGTCGAAGTCTGTGTGATGATAACACATGGAATGACGAACGTAAAGCGCACTACAAAGGGCACATATTTTGACGTGAAATCGACCTTGCGTGGTCCTTGACCTCAGTTGACCGCAGGTGACTTCTTAAGACGTCCTATTTCAATGTTACTATGAAGTAATTTTGGTAGATAAATTCGATTTCATGGGCTATTCCGGACCACCCAAATTTGGAACTCTTAACAGGCTGTGCAAGATAGAGATAAAATGCTGACCTGACCCGACCTGGCTCGTGACCGGTGAATCAGGTGTTCTTGGATGTTCAAGTCCTTCAGAAGTAATGGCTGAAAATAATCCGAATCGAGTGCTCACTTTTACCCCGTGCAGCCCCAAATTTCGAAGTTATAAGTTTCGATCAAGTAAGAGCAAAAGTATGGATAACAGCTGAACTTGGCCTGACCCGTGACGTCAGCACCAATGTGCATTGGGTTTGATGACAGTAGCTCTGTAATTGACTGAAAGGTCTATTTCAATATCTTGTGGATTGATGTAAAAACATGTTCGGGCTACTGGAATGAAAACATAATGAAGTTGCCAAGAGCTAGTAAGAAATATGATCTCTGACTTTACTTAGAAAGTCAACGGTTGACCGAATCTGCGAAATGTTGGTGCCGTTGGAAGTTATCGTTACCTTTAACGTTCTGCGGTAATGTGGTCGCTCTACGGTGCTTTGTTTACGATCAACAGGATAATATATATATATATATATATATATATATATATATATATTGCTTCAACATTTTCCTTCGAAAAATGGGAAACTGTGATGACCACGAAGACGAACCGTTTTTGTTGCTCCATAATGGCAATGCTGTCTTCGTGAACTATGGGGATGTCATAGACATCAGCACCCAATTTCTTGCACCCCAACGTTGAAAACAGACATTCTTGCACGAAATATGAGCGGTGACTGTCAAGCATTGCACTTTTGCTTCCAGGGCGTGTTTCACATTTGTATTGTGTCTTGAAATGACGTGTCTGTCTTGAAAATCATCCGGTACAGTTTACAGTCCCTCCTTTCTTAAAACCTAAACCCCTCTAGTTTACGGGCTACACACCCACGAAGAAGTGCAGACTTTTTCGGGGAGACTATTTCAAGGTTACCCAGGCATCCATGACGCCATACTAACGCCATTCAAATCTTACCGTTTCACTGGCCATGCGGCAATCAAGGCCAAGAAAAACATAATTGTCGAGTCGTTCATATCCGGCGTTCGTGAGCACAATTCTCAGACATAACGGACGTCAATAAGTTCTTAATCAATGTTGTTCAAGGTACGATGACGCAATCAAACTATAACGTATTGAAGAGAACATTGACGTAAGAGAAAAACTGTATTACAGTGAGCAGCGTTTTCCACTTCAAGTATACCAATAGCTTGAAGAGAGCTGATTTCACCATAACTGATGCTTACTTGATATCCTCAAACGTAGAGCATTTTCTTCAACGGTAGGAATCTCCACATTTCAATCCCGAGGGTTGCCAGTATCGTAGATGTACAATAAGATGTCATTAATTAGAAAGCATAAATCAAAAATGGGTGGAAAAATCATTTTAAAGGAAGTTCACTCTTGGTAATATCAGAACCAGGGCATGATGGTGCGCGATAGGGCTTATTGAGCGTGAACTTACAACAACAAGCTCAGTCGCGGCCCATTTGCCGAGGGCACTGACGGTCCTCTGCCCGCGGCCTCCTGTTCCGTCTGATTCATTGACATGCAGCATCTAGCCGTGTACGCTTCTTTCATTATATCTGATGCGGGCCTCAGTACCTTAAAATATGGGGCATTCCCTTCAACGCAATTCGTGTCGCCAACGGCATAATAACGCCGGGCACTTTGGGCGTTGGCAAACGGCTCGCGATAGCGATTCTCACCGTGTCGAAACGGGACCATGAAGGAGGCACGACCATTGCCTTTTGCTCGAGATGGCAAACGAAACGACCTATCAGTTGGTATAGAAATCAGTGACAGCGTCAAATAACCTGCACTTGTGCTGCCCACATGTTGAACGCCACATCCGCAAAGGCCTCCCGCGGCGTAGAGAGTAAAACGCCTTCAGGCTGTACGACTAAAAAGGCTGACCGTTTACATGCTGTCAGATGCAATTTGTTTCGATTGCTAGAAGGGGACTGGTTGCAGGGTTACCGATCATGGTGGAGTGACAATCGTATAAAATGAGTAATGAGTACATAGTATTTCTGAGCGAGAGAAGCACTGACTGGAAATAAGGCGAATAACTTCATCCCAAGGCCGCACAGAACGGAAGATAGGAGTTGTTATGAATGTCAGATGACTCCGACACGATGTTGGCTTGTCTTGAAAAATTCACATAGGAAAAGTAGAAGGGGGTGCTTTATCATTTCCGTAATATTTTTTCAATCACCTAGCCCATCACATGCTCGTCGTAACACGACCGGGATTTCAATGTAACATTCTTGTAACACACCCAATGTATCCACACCTTCACAGACAGGCATTGGCACTTGCGTGGTGATAGACGTGAGGAGCAGAGCCGCCTCCCGACAAATAGTCTGAATAGTCAGGCAGTTAGCCCCATCCCTCATTAGTACCCAACGTTCGCCGACAGAGCCCGGTCCTCCGCCAGTCCGGATCCGGCCTTCGGTCCCACCGCCCGCCGTCCTTTGCCTGGCCAGCCCGTGGCCACCGACCTCCGGTCCCACCGCCGCCTCCTGCCAGGCCCACCCGTGGCCACCGACCTCCGGTTCACCGCCCGCCGTCCCTTGCCAGGCCCGCCCTTGGCCACCGACCTCCGGTCCACCGCCAACTCCTGCCAGGCCCGCCCTTGGCCACCGACCTCCGGTCCACCGCCGCCTCCTGCCAGGCCCTCCCGTGGCCACCGACCTCCGGTCCCACCGCCGCCTCCTGCCAGGCCCGCCCTTGGCCACTGACCTCCGGTCCCACCGCTCGCCGTCCCTTGCCTGCCCAGCCCTTGGCCACCGACCTCCGGTCCCACCGCCGCCTCCTGCCAGGGCCTCCCGTGGCCACCGACCTCCGGTCCCACCGCCGCCTCCCGCCAGGCCCGCCCTTGGCCACCGACCTCCGGTCCACCGCCGCCCCCTTCGCGGCCCGCCCGTGGCCGGCTGTGGGCTACTCACTGTAGATCTTCTCGCTGCGCCGCTTCATGGCACGGCACCGCCAGGCGACCAGGGCCAGGGCCGAGACCAGGAGCAGGAGACCGGCCGCCGCGCCGCCCACTATCAGAGCCACAGCACCTTCGGCCGGACCCCGGCCGCCAGCTGAGAGAACGCCTGCCGGCAGGAGAAGATATGGTGTGACCGGTCACCAGACGCCTGCCAGCGGGGGAGATATGGTGTGACCGGTCACCAGACGCCTGCCAGCGGGGGAGATATGGTGTGACCGGTCACCAGACGCCTGCCGGCGGGGGAGATATGGTGTGACCGATCACCAGACGCCTGCCAGCGGGGGAGCTATGGTGTGACCGATCACCAGCACGCCTGCCAGCGGGGGAGATATGTGTAGTGCACCGGTCACCAGACGCTGCCAGCGGGGGAGGGAGATATGGTGTGACCGGTCACCAGACGCCTGCCGGCGGGGGAGATATGGTGTGACCGATCACCAGACGCCTGCCAGCGGGGGAGCTATGGTGTGACCGATCACCAGACGCCTGCCAGCGGGGGAGATATGGTGTGACCGGTCACCAGACGCTTGCCAGCGGGGGAGATATGGTGTGACCGATCACCAGACGCCTGCCAGAGGGGGAGCTATGGTGTGACCGATCACCAGACGCCTGCCAGCGGGGTAGATATGGTGTGACCGATCACCAGACGCCTGCCAGCGGGGAGCTATGGTGTGACCGATCACCAGACGCCTGCCAGCGGGGGAGATATGGTGTGACCGATCACCAGACGCCTGCCAGCGGGGGAGCTATGGTGTGACCGATCACCAGACGCCTGCCGGCGGGGGAGATATGGTGTGACCGGTCACCAGACGCCTGCCAGCGGGTGAGATATGGTGTGACCGGTCACCAGACGCCTGCCAGCGGGTGGGTGGGGATGGGGAAGGTCTATGGTGCGACCGGCCGCCGAGCCACACGGCGCAGAATACGCCGTTCGTGCATCAATTGCCCACAAATATCAATCATCAAGTGCCAGTGTGACAGAGCCCACAGTCCACACACAGGTCACAATCAGTTGGTGCATGGTTCACAGGTCATCGACATCGCATACCGGAATCTGACACGGTGCACGGTCAGCACGCAGAGGAAACGCCAGTGCCAAACGGTCCGTGGTCGACGTAAAAGTCACAGGTCCAGGTTACATATCAGTGTGACACACGGTCTGCAGGTGGCACAAAGGTCACACAGCAGGATCCTGCGGATCACAGATGATACGCAGGCTGTTGGCAAATGTAACGCAGCCCAAAGGCCATACCCCATTACTGGCCCCATGACCGTGATTCCATTACTCAGGGCGACGCGGTTCACAGGTCGGACAGGTCGAACACAGGTCACACGGGTTATACATCAATGTGACACGGTCTGTGGACAAAAATCTGTTGACAAAGTCCACAGGTCACACAAGAATAACACATCAGTGTGAATGGGTCAGCAAGTCCCACAAAAAACCACATACGCGTGAAGGAATGTCGCAAAAAAGTGGGGTTGCTAGAGACCAAGTCAAAGTCGATTTTCCCATGCTTTGCCATAGGTATACTTTTCATTATCCTCGGGCAGCGGGGCTGCCATGGTACCCACGGACCTCCGTCCTACTCCCATGCGCATTCCAGTATGATATCGCTCACGGACAATACAAAACCAATGTGGCACGGCTCACAGCCCACTTGCAGGTCACGCACCAGGATAACACGGTCCACAGTCTGCACAGGTCACGCGTCGTCCGGCCGGGGCACCGCACGCCGCGTCAGCTGTTAGCTGGCCGGGTGGGCGGCGTGCGCGCGCCGCTGCAGGCCGGGACCGCCGCCTGACCTGCGCCGCGGCCGCCGCCGGTGCCCCGCCCACCGCCGCTGCACCTCGCACGCACAGGCTCACACCAGCAGCCGGACCAGCACAGCGGTGGGGCTGACCCGGCCGGCGGGACGGCCGCCGCGGTCCGGCAGATGGACACACAGACAGTGGTGATGCCGGCGGCGGCGGCGGCGCCGAATCAATAGTCGGCCCGGGGCGGGCGGCCCGGCCGCGCGCTGCCAGCGCGTATATATAGCGGCGTGGCGCCGCTGCAACCGGCAGCCTTCCGCCTTGCTGTCGCGGTCACACGCCATTTAGGTGGGGGGACTGGACGGCGGGTCCGGTGGTGGGAGCTGCACTCTGCTGCCAGCCGTCAGCGCCTTTGATCGGACATCCATCAGGCGCTGCTCCGTCGTTGACAAATCAGCGAGTGGGGATGATCAGCGATGTCTCTCAGGCAGTGCGTGAAGCATGATGGGATGCACGAAAGTCCGCGCTTTAATCGTGTATGTTAACGGCTCCGCCTTTCGCCTGGCGTGAGGCGGCTCTCATTCCTCGACCTCCCTTTCTCTACTCACGCCTTTGTTCGGCCAATCGTGCCGAGCTGCGCTTAGAAGAAGGGTTTCTGTCATCCACGCGACGATTGTCTGACCGTCCTTTTCTAATTCAATGCCTGGAAAAAGTTTTTCCTCGAGGCACTGGTTTGCCGTAAATTGGAGCGTACATCGGTAAGGTGCTTTGGAGCCCACATAGCTGAAGATGGTCGCCGTTTTTATACATTAAGCTTTTCGTGCAGGAGTTTCCTGTGCAAGTTTTACCCGTTGATTGGCTTTGTTCCCTTTTCAGTTGTCGGCAGCAAGACTGCTTCGGGACGATGTCATTGTCTGTCTACACAGGCCGATGGCCATCACATTGTTTGCACAGGCCCATGGTCAACACATCATATGTCTTCACAGGCCGATGGCCAAAACATTGTCTGCACAGGCACGTGGCCAACACATCGTATGTCTTCACAGGCCGATGGCCAACACATTGTCGGCACGGGCCAATGGTCAACACATCGTATGTCTTCACAGGCCGACGGCCAACACATTGCAACAGTGGGACGCCGGGGCAAAGGGGTGATTTGCTCATTCGTCGTGTCAGCTTGTAACCCATGCCAAACTTCACCGCTGGTATTCTTCTCAATGTCTGCATTGTTAAATTCCGTAAAGTTGCCTTGGCCTGCCGTAGGCACCCCTGTCATTTTAGTCATCATTACCCTATATGCTCGCGTGTGCGTTGCCTGTGCCTGCTGCACACCTGCGGCACAGTACCGCTGCCGGAAACAGATCCAACCGGACGACTGCCATTTGATCTGCACGGTACGGATTGGGGCGACGTCTTTCACTCTCAGGCCACACTAGGAAAATGACGAGATCTTTCCAGGTAGTCATGGGCCGCTGTTGCGGTGCCTTGCGAGACCTGGAGGGGGGGGGGGGGGGGGGGTTCACCCGAGCACCGCCAGCGTCACCGACATGCCCGGTCTGTCATCCGCCGTTATGTCCGGTCTGTCATCCGCCGATATGTCCGGTCTGTCATCCGCCGATATGTCCGGTCTGTCATCCGCCGATATGTCCGGTCTGTCATCCGCCGTTATGTCCGGTCTGTCATCCGCCGATATGTCCGGTCTGTCATCCGCCGTTACACATGTGTCGGTGTCCGGGCTCGGATTGCTGAGCGGCGGGCGGGGCACAGTCGGGCCGAACAGGCAGAGCTTTTCGGTGGCGAACGGCAGGGTGAGAGAGTTATGCCCAAGCTGTCAGGTGAGCAGCTCAACGATTGCTTTGTGTTCGTCGGCTCAAAGGTGGCAGGTGAAGCATTTGCCATGACGCGGTTTCCGATGTTGACCGCCGCCTCACAGAGATCGACGCTTGCGGCTTTTCGATTTCACCAGTCCACATTGATACATCAGTCTGCATGTTCCTCAGTATGCTTGACTCATCTGCCTGTCGGTCCGATGACATCGCTTTCCGAGCCTTGCATGCCAGTTTCACTGCTCTTGGTGAAGTCATCCTGCACCGAATCAACACCTGCCTGAACCACTTAGATTCTAACGCTCCTTGGAAATCTTCCTTTATTCATCCGGTACTGAAATCCGGCGGCCCATTTGACCCATCTAACTTCCGTCCAATATAACTATTATGGCCATCATTTCCAAAGTGGCAAAGATGATCGTCCAGCAATACCTCTGTCACCAGGCCTGGTTTAAGAGTCTCCTTTCGTCCAACCAGCGCGGTTTCCGTTCGCATCACACAACGAAACTCGCTCTGGTGACCATCGCCAAGCGCGTCCTCGCGGCCAGCGATAAGCGAGGAGAAAAAGCGAAGGCAAAAAGCGAGAGTGGAAATTCCGCTTTTATCTTAAATAGGCATCCGCAAATGCTTTGTTATCATTCACCATGGTATTCGTAATGAAAATGGTACCTGCACGGGGCTGATACTCGCTGGTTTGCTGCCTATCTCCATGGCCACGACAGGGCGTGTCTCTGAGCATTTGGGCGTGGCGCGGCTCCCGCGACTACTCCCGAACGGCACGGTGGTGTTTCAAGGCTCCCATTTGGGACCTTTGCTGTTTGGCGTATTTGCTGATGATCCGGTGCTTTAATTCGCAGGCGCCCAGGTGGACATTCATGTGGTTTCTCTGGGAGAAAGAAAATTATGAAGTCCCACAGTCCGATTGTAAGAGTGAAAAATTTACTTCCCTTTCCGGACGGATGGTCAGTGCGAACGCCCTCAAAATCACTGTTAGTAAAACTGAGCTCCGTGCATTTTGGCAATCGTCCGAGTTCGCTAAGCCTTCCAAAACTCAACGTCATCTTTCACTTCCATCCAAAATGGCTCTCGAACCTTGCAACGAGGTCAAAAACCTGGACATCAGTCTCGATGAGAACTCTCGAATGAAAATTTCGATTAAAATTTCTGAGCCAGGGCTCTTCTCGGCAGCATAAAACTCGACCGCATCTCTAATCTGCAAGAGAAACTGATTGCCAGCCCGGCACCTCGCTGGTTTTTGCACAGTGAGTCTGACTCATAAGATCCTCGAGAGCTGGGAGCCCAAATTGTTAGCGACTGTCTTCCGCTTAAACAGGATAATCGTAATAAAACGTCATGCGCGAACGTAATACCAGACAGAACGGTCTGATGCGCGTCCCGCCATCCAAAACTGAGGCTGGTAAGAGGTACAGTAGCTCGGGAGCGGCGGCGTCCTGCAACTGGGTACCAACCGACTTACCCGGCAGAAGCACCGGCATCTCCATACCTCATTTGAACACTGGATGATGACCTCGCGCCCCAATACCATTGGTCACGCGTAATGCACGACCCGAGTACGAGCGACGTTCGCTGTTTCTTTTGCGTGTGCGTGCGTGTTTCTGATATCGCCTTTGATCGGAGTCTTAATATCCGATGCTGCTGTGAAACGGCCATTGAACGTAAGCATCCAATGTTGCTTTGAACCGGCACCTAAACGCCAGTGAAGATTTTCAGTTAGGTGATGCTGATATTAGTTGCATTATAGCGTTAATGGCACACATCATATTTGCGTCGACCGCATGTATTGGTGTGAAGTGTGCGGAATGCTTAAATTATTTGACCAAACAGGCTGAGTCGTCAGTACTTCCGCGACAGCTAGCTGGGATGGAAGGATCGGTGATATAGTTATAGAATGTGCTACAGATGTATGGTGACATAGATATGAGGAATATCCTATGCCAGCCCGAAACCATCACCCAACATGTTTTATGTTCTTTATCCAGCTTGTCTTCTATTGCATTATCCGGAGGACGATTTCTGGAACGGCTTTGTTGCACTTTTGATATGAATGATTTTTCCCATGCTTTCTCCAATCCGGCTTCCGCCAGTTTGTAAAATGCCTCCCCTTGTCACAGGGTGTGCTGGCATTCAGTGAGGCACCCATGCAAGGTGAATGATATGGTTTTACAGCGAGGGAATCCTCCCCCGACCCAACCATGGGAATTCGAAACCGGTCGTATACGGCCAGAATGACTCAGAAAATGGCATACAATGCAGAAATGACCAGTTGGTTCTGGATCATGTCACGTGACCGGCTGGCTGGCCGCGTTGCCGCATCGTGGCCCAGGGCTTGTGCGCCGGCCGCAGCGCTCCTCAGTCAGCCGCAACAAAGGGCACTGCCGCAAATTACGCCAAATGAGGGCCGGCCGACCGACCCCAATTCGGGATCCAATCCCATATCTATTGACTCCAATGGCGTTGGCGCGTGGTGGAGGCTGGCACCGATGCTGCCGCGGAGTGCGCGGGACCGGGGCAGCCGTGGTCAGAGAGGTCCCACGGCTGCCAGCGTTCGACAATCAGTGACCCCAATGTGACGAAGCCTGTGAAAGGACCTGCCCATCACCGCAATACAGCAGCGAGGGACATAGCTCAACGACCACTGGAGTACAACTTGAATGCGACAATAGCCCATCGAGCATTGCGCAATAAGATCAGCACGCCAATATCATCGCAGTTCAACATCACCGGGGCAGTTTCGTTGCCATCTCGTCTACCCGATCGCCGTGGCTGCAGTGGAACCAAGGGTCGTGAGTGCTACAAAATGGCTCGGCATCTGGCCGAAAAGGACTGAGATTACTTCCTCACATTCACTTAGTTGTGAAACGTTCATGACATTATTTGAAATTCGGTGGGCTGGTGTGACGGATGATGTGTGTAGTCTCCTTGCAGTCGTGTCCATGCTGACGCCAAGATGATGGAGCCACCACCTTAATCGTGAAATAGTTGGGCGCCTCATCAGAATGTTCGTCAGTCTTTCGATCATCACAGCGTGCTGAGCGGGTCATTACGAGTATTATTCCCCGCCTTAGGGAAACACCTCGCGAACGCAGCTTGACACTGACGCGGGTCTCAGCCCATTTGCGACTGGCACTGGTGCTGCAAACGATGATTAATGACGTCGCTGCGCGATGGCTGCTGGCGGCTTTCGGAAACGGCCAGCTGACTGAGTGACGAACTGACAACAAGGCCAGTCTGTCCCCCTATCACCCTCTCACTCCGTGATCTTGCGGGTGCGTCTCACTCCGTCGCCACAGATGCTGAATGGTTGCTCACGGGGCGTTGTTTCTAACCGTTGTCTGGCTGCGTATTCGTTGATGTATGACGAATGTGTGTGCGATTTCTCACGAGCTGTTGGAATCCTGTTGCCACTAAAGCGTAATTCACTCACACAGTTACGGCTCATATTCAATTCAAGGCTTTGTAAAGGCATTGCTGCTCAAAGACGCAAGCGGCTGAAAGTCAACGTGATCGGTGTAAGACGCCGCAGCCTTCGACGTAAGCAAGCAAGAGTAATGTTTCAGTGGGCTCTGTCCACTTGAGCGATCGGCTGAAGTCACCGCTGCCTTATGGTAACTAAAATATGCTGAGCGTCAACCAGCCGCCACGTAATCGTGTATCTCTGGGGCACTAACAACAAACGCCATGTAGGATCGTGATTTCTTCGGTGTTTCGGTGGGCTTTGTCCATTCGAGCGGTGGGCTGAAATCACGGCTTCTGTGTGACAGCTGAGATATGCCGGGCTCTAGTCAGTCACTATGTGACCGCGTATCCCCGCGGCACTAACAACAGACGCTATATAGACCCGTGATGACCTGCTGCGCCTCCCCGTGGGATAACGCCAGAAAACACCCTTCGTGTTGGGTGTAGAGGTGCGGGGAGCCTTCTGTTCTGGATCCTGCAGCAGCCTAAGACTACATCCCGTCACATTCTGATGTGGCCAATGCCCGTAGACGCCTTCCCCGCAATGTGCGGCACATCGTTAACTCCGTAATGCAGCACGTAAGTAGCAGGCACGGACAGGACAGCGATTCCCGTACAACCCGACGTGACAAGACATGGAGGCTGAATCCGGGGCCCACTGCGGTCCCATCGCCAGGGCGCCGCCCACGATCAGCCCGCAGTCTCACCTGCTCCCCCTCCAGGGAGATAGTCATGGTAGCTGACCTCTGGAAGCTGCCCGACTGGTGGTGCTGCTCGGGGGCCCGCGCCATGCCGAGGCGCGCCGGCCCATCCGCTGAAACCCACCAGCGTCGAGTCACTCGTGCGTCGCGTCACCGCGGAACGGCACGTGAGCCGCGCACAGCAATGGTGGGACGGCACGTGGTTCGTGCGCAGCGAAAGTGGAGCGGCGCGTGATCAACATGGTGTGGTAGTGTGCAGTGACATTTGATGTGGCACGAATGACAGACGTCTGAAGGGTTTATATGAGTATTCCGTGACAGTCCCTGATCGTTAACCCCAAGATCACGCAGTCGATGCGGGGGTGCACGTCATTCCATCCGGTGGCCAGTCTTCGGGGACTGCAGATCATCTCAAGGTGGTTTTCGTTTGACAGACAACATCGTACATCGCCTATAATGAAAAAGCACAGAGTCGGCCGCAAAATAATGTTTACCGATTGAGGTAAGAAACGCCAGCTAAAAGTCTGCTCACGAACAAGATCCATCATTCGCCAAGCTGCAGGTATGCTGTTGTTGTTTATTGAAATTTTAGGGCGCGCCGACTACTTGATCATTTTGCGCCCATAACAGCCTGAAGGTATGCCGAGTGGTTTTAGTCCCAGCGCAGCCTGAATCGTGCAGGAACACAGTCAAAATTACAGCAGAGTCTAATATCAGCGACATCGGCGGGATTTCCTCAAGACAGCAAAAGTGTGGCCTCCGCTACTGGCACGGGACAGCTCATGCTTCCTCCCCTTCCAATTCGAGAATTCCACCACTACGCCCATGGGTTGACACGAGAAGGAAAAACTCCGCAAAACCTTTGCGGCCTCCCCAACTTTCGAGCTATGGCATAGCTCCGATTACCTGCACGCATTCAGCAGGCCAGCACCGACGGGAGCCAGCCTCCATGCGACTCCCAAACTCCGGAGAATGGGCGCTTCAATGCCGGACACGCGCGGACGTGACCAACGCGCTGTGCTCAGAACCCAGAGCTCTCAGCCAGGCGGATGATCCAAACAAATGTGGCGATGTTTGAATGCCCGATGAGGGTAAGGGAAGCACGGAACGCCTTGAAGGGATTTGTTCGTTGCTGCTAGTTTTTGCCTTGGCATGCCTCGACATGTATGTGAGAGTTCAAAGACGGCATTTGTGTTGGTTGACGTTGAGTGTCCGTCCCTCAGATTGGCTGGCGTAGCGTTCATCCTACAGGCGACCACTGAGCGACAGCATCTTACAACGCGGTGAAACATTTAGCATTCGTCAAGGTGCTGTTTAATAGGTACAGAACTACTTCGTGACGAATTCCGACAGACATATCGGCGTTCTGTCATATTTGGACGCTTTACCACGTTTCTGAGCCGCCGCCGTGTTGGACGGGAAGCGCTGGCATGCCGTGTCGGTGACGCCCAGCGAACGGCTTCCCTTTTCATGTTCGGTAAGGGAGGGCTGAACATTAAAACGGACATTTGACCTATAAGACGGTCTGGTAGAGCATTCAGTTGGACCATGTTCTGTTAGATCAAAGATAGCATGCTGGACCTTTACAATGGCATTGCTAAAGCTGGTCTCAGTAATGTCATTTTAAACGCCGCATTGAACGGCACTAATGGTGTTCGCTAATTACCGACAATGCTTAGAAAAGACATCACAATTGTATCATACAATCGGGCCACACGACGTCCACATAACGTGAGGCATGTGAAACTGCATCGGTCCTGGCTCGTCAAGATAGCATACCGAAGGGGACTCTGTTTCTGAGTCACCTCCTCCTATGCGCTCTGGTAATGCTATACCTCATGACAACTCTGAGGCCTGAGATCTTGCCTACCCCTGCCTTTTCCTCCGCGCCCAGGTGGCATACCGGCACCATCAAGACGCCGTACCCTGGATTATTTACTGTCGCAGGGATGCTTTGTATTTTGGCTCGCTAAGCATCGAATTGTAGAATCACTTGTGTGCCTTACGGACCAAAACGGTGCTACATCTCCCACGTTCTTTTTCGGCGTTGCCATTGTGTTGAGTAATCGTCGTTATCGTGCTCAAGAATGGCACTCTTTCAAAAGTCTTTTTTGGACTAACAGCGACCTGTAATGACCACACCGAAGCGACGTCGTGGAGCTGCACGCACACATATTGGTACTGCGCATTTTCGGAAGCTTCGGTGTCATTGCAAGCCACACATCAGGAGGGGCCCGCCGGGTCGAAGGTGCATGCAGCAGACCACCTTATCAGCGGGCAAGGTGATCGGAACATTTCTTTTTGACCGCCACAACATT